GGGCTGTGCACTGCCCCCCACCTGTACCGCGGGGCTGGGGGGCACTGGGAGTGGGTGTCCCGGGCCCAGTGCCAGCAGGGCCCAGAGCAGGGTGGCAGGAGCGCGGGGTCCCAGCCGGCAGGGGCTCTATGGAGCCGGGCCAGCTCCCCCCTCCCTGCTGGTGCAGCCCAGCCCAGCTCCACGGACCCCTGCCAGCCTGTGCCCCGCTTTGTGCCCCACCGGTGCTGGCCCTGGGACATTGGTCCCAAGTTGGTGACCAGGGGGTGGGGCACCCCATGCGGCCCTCGACAGCCTGCCAACACTCGGTAAGCAGCCCTCCACCCAAAATAATTGCCCCCCCCGCTCTAGAGTGCTACTTTCTATTTTTAAGGGTGAATAACCAATAAGGCTAGGTAGCATTTAATATTACTATTTAACATGACATTTTCCAAGTAAATACACATAACAGGCAATGGACTTTGCTGCCAATTCATTAAGTAAACAGTTTTGGACAAGCACCCTGAAAAAGAGACTACTAGAAGCCCAAAACAGCTCTGAAAATCCTGCATAACCAACCTGGTAGCATGGTAGATGCATATAAAATGTGGTAATTGCAAATGTAATTTTATAAAGATACTCATTTCCAGAAGAGCATGTTTCTCAGCCCTGAAGTAATGTGTTATCAGAGCTATCCAACTAGAAGCCCATGGGCTACATATAGCCTGTGAGGCGTTGACTCCCAGTGGTTGCCCGCTGTTCCTGTTGCTGCCAGGGTCTCCAGACTCTCCCTTTCTCCACTGGTTTCCACCCCCTGCCTCCACTCTTGGGAGCATCATAGATGGACTGGGGGAGTCTGCATGCTACCTGCACAATGGGAAGGGGCCGGTGCAGCATTCGTTCAGCTCCCAGCTGCTCAGCTGTTGGAGGACAACTCCATCATCAATTTCTAAAGATTTTCATAATGTAATTAAGAAGCAAAAGCCTTCCTGAAAGTCACAAATTCAATTTGAAAATTCAACCAAGGACAGTTTTATAGAGAGTTTTATATAAAAATTATTTCTTTAAGAACAGTGCTTTAGCAGGAACTAAGAATGTGTGCTACTGAAATCAACTGCTGTAAATTTTTGAAGATTCCCTTGAAGACTAGTATGGAAAATGCCTGATCAATTTCCAGTAAAAATATTATTAGCTATCAAATATTGGCACTTCCAAAAAACACTTCAGCTAGTATGTGCCAGTGGTACATTTTATTTCTAAGTATCATAATACTGCCATGCTTTATGATTAAGCACAATCTTTGTTGCTCTCCTTAATCAATTTTCTCCCCGGCTCCCTTCTCCCATTCTACAATAGCTTGCATCATCCATCCTTCTCCAATGAGCCTTCTCCATTACTTCTTGAAACAGGTCTAAAGCACAAAGTTTCTCCCATACTAGGCCAGTCTTTCAACAGTAATTCAGACAGAAAAAAACTGTGCAACAATTAAGGGTTTCACATGTAATACCTTGTTGTAAAACCAGAAAAGTTAGGAAATGACATGTTAGCCCTCTACTATATCTCATGATCCTTCCCCCATTGTCACATCTCACAACTGCTACACAACACACTTAACTCTACTCCTTTTGGCATGCCATCTTGCATTGTTTCAGATGGGACCAAAGGGAAGCAGTGCAAAAAACAGGCTAAATATACAACTACAAGAGCTGTGGCAAAATTGGTTCCTATTTTGACCAAAGGAAGCCTATGGCTTCAGTCCTATTGAAAACGGGAAGAGGCAGATATTTTTAAAAAGAACTTGTTAGTAGGTATCTTGAGAGGCCCATAAGGTTTATCTTATGACATATAATGGAAAATAATTTTAAAACCTTTTTAAAACAGAATATGCTATTTATGTTATAGGTCTACTAATGTTTGATCTTGGGAGGGTGGTTTGTGTTTGGGGTTTTTTTGGGTTTTGTTTTGGTCTCTTTGTTTTGCATAAAGGCAAAAGACTTTTCAGCTCCTCCACCAACCTGTGACCTCTGAACAAATCAATTTGTGTGTCCATGTGCCAGCACTACTTCCCTTTCCAATGGTCTTAATTCACAGTACAAACAAGCAGATACCCAACAAAGAAAACTGCCCTTTAAGAAACAGCCTCAATTTTAAAGTACTTCTTTTTTTTCCAGACATACAGTTTTGGGACTTTTTTATTAATTATTGAAAGTGGTCCTGTATTTTCAAAATACAGTCTGAGTTGTACTAGAGAGTATATTTCATTCTGTTTTTTAAAGTAAGTGCTAACCCAATAAAACAAGGTGTCCAATTCTAATTATCTTAACGCTGCAAAATGATGTAACCCTATCTACAGAGAAATCTCAAAGGGGTCAGCTGGATCTAGATATCATGAGTTGTGGCATACTCATCTCCTACTCGCCCTCAGCCACAAAGCAGTGCTGCAAGGATGCTATCCAATGCCGTGGTGCTCAACCTATAGCCAGTAGAGCTCCCTCTGGGTCTGGAAATCTGCCGGTGGGGAAATGGGGGAATTAATAGTGCTACTGCTTCCCCTGTCAAATTACCAAGCCCTGCAGGCTGGATGACATGGTCCTGTGCCCAGGGCTAGAGCCATGGGTAAGATCTTTCATAAGGCCCAATCCAGTACATGGGGCTGGGGCCACATGTGCTGGATCAGGCCCTAGCCAGATCAGGCCCCAGGTGGGCTGTACTCACATCCTGGATCAGGCCATGCATGACAGATCAGCCCCACTGACTGGATCCAGCCCACAGCCTGAAGCCACACTACTCATCCAGCCCATGGGGCCAAAAGATTGGGTACTACTGATCTAGCAGAATACTTCCTCTTTCCCCATGGGCATTGAAGTAATCCTGGAAGGGTCTTCTAGTGGTTCAAGAACAACAGCAGCGCGCCACCAGCGATCCTTCCACAATTGACTCTCTTCCCCTATGCACCGATTTCTGATTATAAGGAAGATACCTAACATACCAACTAAAATAACTGAGTTCCAATGCATCAGAAGAACCTCAACTTCAAAGTTCATTTCTACAGAAGGAGTATGCAATAAAAAAAAATACAATAACTAAGGTAAAGATATTTAGTGTTATAGTAACAAGTGCCTGGAGGCGTTTAATCCTTGAGAGCTGATAACCACTTTATTACTATGCCTCTGTAAATTTAATAACTTTAATGGAACTACATCGCTGTAAAGTTGAAGGTGACTCAGAGCTAGGAGGCCAACAATGAGCAGTCAAAATCATCATTGCCTGACCAGATGCATTACAGTTTATTCAAACTGCTGCAGGAATATTTGTTAATAGTCCTTCATGAACATTCAGCCCCAAAAATCTACAGTCTTTAACTAGCCTAGTGAGAGTGACAGGATAACCAAGTGAGAAGTTGGGTTTTTCAATACAGACACAATAAATGTCTCTAATCCCTTACAAATAGTATAAATCCACTTTGAGAAAGAATTATTAAAAATCCTTTTGAAATCCAAAGCCTTCTACTGGTGCGATTTTTTAAAATATCCCAGATAAACTTTGCAATTTGAAGTGATGCCTGATCCCTACAGTTCACACTGTAATAATCTATGATAGAACAGTCAATTGAACAAAAGGTTAGAACAAAGAGCACATAATGTATCA